GTTGCCAAGAAAACTGTGTGGATTTGTTCATATAGCTACCTGGAGTCAAGACTGATTCAAAGACACACATACACACATTGCTTGTCTGTAGTAAATTATCAGCTCTGGACCTGGCATTTTCTACTTGTTTCTGAACGTCCTTATATTTTAGCCTTGTAGCTCAGGCTGTGGTTTTAGTTAACTAATTTAATCTGCAAGTGTCTGAATAGCTAAAAATTGTACATTGTACATGTTGAGTTAAAGGGGAATAAGGTAGTTTGATTGTAATGTGGCTAATATAGAATAATATCCTACACAGTAATATTTCTGTGATAGAAGTAAACCTCCATCTAAATATTTCAGTGGTGAAGTGTGGACGGAAATTGATAATGAAGTTGTAGTCTCAAACAGAGGGAGAAAAAGACATGTTTAAACTTTACTCTGACCTGTTTCAGACAGAATGTGTAACCATAGGCCAATGCTGTATAAAGTCTGATACCGGTGCTTTCCAACTCCTCTTCTTGTACACCCAGACATCCTTTGAATTAAAACCTTCAGCAAATCAACGTTTGTAAACTTTAACAGAAATTTGCAAATTGCAGTTTATAATAGTTACATTATAGTTGCATGCCTTGTCTAAGTGCATTATTATTGTCTGGTTGTCTTTGGCTGTTCAGCTTTGTATTCTCAAGTGAGAGATACTTCCTTTCATATTTGGTTTGTGCTTAGCAGTTGTTTCTGTACTGATTTTGCCCCACTAGGTTGCCTGAGACTACTGTTCAGTGCATTCCATATTCTCCATTTTATGTATTTTATACCTCTTCCCAACCATTTCTTGAGTTTCTTCAGTTAAGTGTTGTGTTGTACTGTTAACTTTCTTTTCCGTTTTCCTATTTTTTTCATTTTGAATTTTAACACTGTATTTAATCCACAGATAAATTCATTAACAAAAGGATACTGAATCAGATTAAATGCCTATCTAGTACAGTTTTCAGGTTCCCAGACTGGGTTAATGAGGTATTTGTGGGAAGCCCACAAAGAGGATATGAGAACAATAGCATCCTCGTATAGATATTGAATGTCTTTATTTTTGCTAAGAACTGTTGGTTTTAGAGCACTCACACTCCTTAATATAAATTTATATGAGACTAGGGAAAAACATCATTATAGTTATTGATATTGTTATTGTACTTATATACAGTATTTATAATTCTCCCCTATTTATAAGAACTGTTGGTGGCTAACAAAATTAAAACCATTATAATAAGAATTATATATAACTAATAAAAACAAAACAATTATATAAACAAAAATCCATCTGCTGACCATCTGTAGTTAAGAAGAATCAGAAGAATCAAAAGTCTATCATCCTTTAGCATACTTCTCTTGTCATATATAATTTCTATTAC